AATTCGTGAATGGTTTTAGGTTTTGTTCTGTAAACCTTACTCTTCAGATATCCCCATAGATAATAATCAAGAGGAGTTAGATCTGGTGACCGAGGTGGCCAATCCTCTCCTCCCTCATTTCCGTTCCTTCTTCCTATCCACCGTAGCGGAAAAGTCTCATTTAAAATACGACGTGGTCCTGCACCAAAATGAGCAGGAGCTCCATCATGCTGAAACCATATTTCTTGGAAATTATTTGGAAAAGTATTCTGTATGGCTGGAATTATTTGATCAACAAGTAATCTCTCATACCTTTGAGCGTTCAAATATTCTTCAAAAAAAAACGGCCCTATTAAATAGCCATCTATTATTCCGCACCATACATTTATTTTTTGTGGATGTTGTGTGTGAGTTTCCCGCACCCAATTCGGATTCTCATCTGACCAGAAACGAAAATTTTGATTATTAACTTCTCCCGTTAAGGTAAAAGTTGCCTCGTCTGTGAAAACAATTTGATAAGGGAAGATGGGCCGGACATCTATTAGTGCCATCATTCTTTCACAGAAATGTATACGACGCTCCTCATCTCCGTTTTGCAATTCTTGAACGTATTGCAATTTATATGGATGGAACTTGTTCTTCTTTAAAATTCTCCAAACCGACATGGGAGCAATATCGTGAGTTTGGGCGACTCTCTGAACACTAGAATTGGGATCTTCAATAAATGTCTGCAGAACATCAAGTTGTTTTTCTTCGTTGGTTGCAGACAATGGTCTTCCTGACTTAGAGCGATTTCTTACGCTACCAGTTTGTCTAAAACGTTCTATTGTTTTTAACACAGTGGACTTATTAATTCGACGGTTCGGATACGTGTCATTAAATAATCGAACGACATCAGAGAACGATCTTTCGTTATCACCCCATCCACGCATCATGAGGATAGTGATTCTTTCACGTTCCGACAAGTCGCCAGCCATTTTTAAAACGTTTAATTTTAATTAATCGTACGTTGTATTTGGACGATAACAATTAATTTCTGCTTGCTCAAAGCTGAAGTTAGAAGGTGCTCGTTCTTTGATAGCTTTATACATTCTTAGTTGAATTTTAAATGCGAGTTAGACTGCATGTAGTGCGTCACATAGCAGTAAATGAAGGAACTAACGAGACGTTTCATACACGTTTTATGGAGCAATTTTTTGGCAATTTGACTTCAGCGAAATATGAGGATATGTTGAGGAATCGATCTTGCCTTAGTTAGCTGGATCACACACACAACAGATGCAAATCCGAGCGAGTAACCTCCATGTAGTACACCTTGGATAATGTTAATACCGGCGCTATTCTATCATTCAACCCTCATAACTCGCAAAGTACTTAATAAAAATGAACATTATTATAGTGTTTTGGAAAGCTCTTGAATTAAGCTATAAGAATATGCAATCAAATGTAGGGGGTGTCATTTAAAAAAGTCAATGTGACCTTGACCTGACCTTGACGACGCCATCCAAGGTCAAACTGATAGAATCAGTATATAGATCTTCTTAAACCCTACAACTTTTGTTGGAAACACTTTTCTGTAAAACGTATATTTTCCGAGATATTTAGGGGTTTCCACACTTTTGGTAGACCCTGTATATATATATATATATATATATACAGGGTCTACCAAAAGTGTGGAAACCCCTAAATATCTCGGAAAATATACGTTTTACAGAAAAGTGTTTCCAACAAAAGTTGTAGGGTTTAAGAAGATCTATATACTGATTCTATCAGTTTGACCTTGGATGGCGTCGTCAAGGTCAGGTCAAGGTCACATTGACTTTTTTAAATGACACCCCCTACATTTGATTGCATATTCTTATAGCTTAATTCAAGAGCTTTCCAAAACACTATAATAATGTTCATTTTTATTAAGTACTTTGCGAGTTATGAGGGTTGAAATAATTTCTTAATTTTACATAAACCATAAAATATCTAGTAAACCATTCATTTTTCGATTATCTTACCTTCATACTTTTATGTACAAATTAATGAGAGGAATCAATTGGTGTAAAGAAAACACATAGTTGTTTCTAAGAAAAAATATGTAATTTGCAATTAACAATTCCATATTTTTTCTTAAAAACAACTGTATGTTTTCTTTACACCAATTGATTCCTTTCATTATTTTGTACATAAAAGTATGAAGGTAAGATAATCGAAAAATGAATGGTTTACTAGATATTTTATGGTTTATGTAAAATTAAGAAATTATTTCAACCCTCATAACTCGCAAAGTACTTAATAAAAATGAACATTATTATAGTGTTTTGGAAAGCTCTTGAATTAAGCTATAAGAATATGCAATCAAATGTAGGGGGTGTCATTTAAAAAAGTCAATGTGACCTTGACCTGACCTTGACGACGCCATCCAAGGTCAAACTGATAGAATCAGTATATAGATCTTCTTAAACCCTACAACTTTTGTTGGAAACACTTTTCTGTAAAACGTATATTTTCCGAGATATTTAGGGGTTTCCACACTTTTGGTAGACCCTGTATATACAGAGTGTTTCGGACCACTAGTACCACCCATTTAAAAACTAGAGAAGTGGTTATTTAAAAAAAGTAAAAACATTTTCTTTACAAATCGAGTGCGCTCTATCGAATAGTGATATTTTTAACTTCTGGTTCCGGCCGGAAATAGACGATTCAGACCGAAAGTGCATTTTTTTAAATGGAACCCTCTCTTTTTCATTGCATATTCTTGTAGCCTTACATCCAGAGCTTTCCAAAACACTAATAAATTATTTTTCCATAAAGTGCTTTTAGAATTATGAGACTTAAAATCATTTCTTAATTTTACATAAACCATAAAATATCTTGTAAAATATTCATTTTTCGATTATCTTACCTTAATACTTTTATGTAGAAAATAATGAGTGGAATCAATTGGTGTAAAGAAAACATACAGTTGTTTTTAAGAAAAAATATGGAATTGTTAATTCAAATTGTTTTTCAATTTCAAGAAGTTGAAAATATCACCATTCGATAGACCGCACCCGATGATTATAAAGAAAATGTTTTTACTTTTTTTAAATAATCACTTCTCTAGTTTTCAAATGGGTGATACGAGTGGTCTGAAACACCTTGTATATATGTTAGGCTCAAAGACCGAAAACGCTCACTGAACGAAAAAACCGATCACAACACGTTTCTGACTTCTCAGATTCAGCCACAACGCGAAATTTGCGTCGAGGCACTTTCCAAAACGCTCATAACGCGTTTAGGCATATTCAAAAAGGCCACAAAGCGAAATTCGTGTTGAGGTTCTTTTGATAATCGACCAAAACGCGTTCTGGCAATGTAAAAATGCCACAACGCGTTGTGGACGCTTATTGATGCAGCCATGACGCGATGTAAATACAATCTATCAACGGCCGACAGATTCATGCACATTCTTGTTCGTTTTTTATTTAGCGTATTGCTAGAGTGTGGACGTTGTTGGTTTGCGTGCTAATTATGTGGTACGAAATATTACTTCAAAGTAAAAGAAGCTCAGTTACTTCGAAAAAATAAGCAATCGGTATCATCAAAGCAGTATCGTCGTATAAAGCGATACGACATCTTAAAACTTGGTGATACTGAAAAACTGATTGAAAGTGGTTCTGAAGGTATGGGCGATTCTAAAATTCGCTATTTCTGTAAGGCAGATGAGCTATTTGATGTATTGGAGGCAGCACATCTCAACGTGGAACACAAAAGGACAAAAGGTAGTTGTATTTAAATCTTTGAAATTTGACGTTTATTGATATAGCAATAATGCAATAAAAATAAAATTATAAAGAAAAAAATTATAAAGAAAATTAACAGTTAGCCTTATTAATCCTATAGCTCTTACAATAAAATTTAAAACAATTAAGTTTCTGTGATAGAAGTTTTCATTCATCAGTATTTTTTATTAATAATAATATAAAATACTGTTTAGAGTTGCTCTCTTTGTGAGAATTCTTTTATTAAAAACAAATTTGCCATCAATTGACAAAATCATTTACAAATAAATTTTTTTATTTGACTAAAATCTACGATACTTTTTTTCATACGTAAGTATCAAGGATTCATAAAATAAAATAATTGACGTTATTTTGTTATAACAATTGACGTTAATTCAATTAAAATAAAACAAATTGTCTTTTTGACTGTAAAAGAAAATACAGTTATCTTTATTAATACTATGGTTCTTTTAATCAAAGAAGATTTTGTAATAGAAATCTTCATTAATTAGTATTTTTCTAATAATAAACATTGTTCATAATATATATTGGTCCCTTTGTGGGAATTATTAATAAATTATTTATTTTTGCAAGAACTATTACTGACATTTGGAATTGCACTTTATATTTTTAGAGAGACATTTGCATTTTTTGTCAATGCAGTATCTTTTACAGTGGCAGCTTATAAAACCTTGCTTACTTCCAGATGACAACATAGAAGCTGAACATAGAAGAGTTAGTGAAGTACGTCTTGCAGTTCAATAAAGTTGTTCTCAGCAACTATAAATTCATTGCGAGCATAAATCGCTCAAGGAGCCCTTCTTTGGTACCTAATTGATAAAGCCTTGATGAATTAATTCCGGCAACAACAGCTAAGATATTTCTGGGAGCTGCGCGTCCTTTATCAACGTCAGGCACTCTGACCACTACACTAGTTCGAATATCAACTTTAGGAAATTTTGAATTAGAAAATGAAATCATTTTTTGTGCTTGTTGTTTTTGACCAGATTTAGCACATTCTCCCTCAACGCTGATACTGTTCTTCCTTATACAGAGCTTGCAAGTAACGTTCTGTCCGAAACCCTCATTATTCTCATCACTTTCTCCGGCAAATAACGTAAATATATTGATGACATCCTGAACACTTGTAAGCTCCTGAAGTTTCGTTTTCACAAATCACACAATAAATTTTGCTGTCATCTTTTTTTTTTGATTGTTGTGTAACCTCTCCAGCTTTGAGGTATATTTTTATCTTCACTAGATTGTTCGTTAACTTCTTTCTTCATCAGTCTTATCTTGATCATTGTTCTTTACCGAAGAAAGAAGTTGTTCCAATTCTTCTTCAGTTTCTATAGAAGAATACATGTCACTGGAAAGAGAGGAATCCGCAAGTCCGATCTTTTGCGCTGATCCAAACAGCTCATAAGGACCTCATAAGGACTCATAAGGACTTGTCTTAATTACCGAATGGAGAGCTCGATTCTTCTTACTTTGAATAAATCGGAGTCCTTCAGACCATTTTTCCGTATTATTGTCAGCCATCCACGCTACCAGCATGTCACGAATATCTTGGTTCGACCTTTCAACCGAACCCTGACTCTGAAAATGTCGCGATTTACCATTAACAAGCTTCATTCCAGGCCACATATCGGCCAAACTTTTAATTATTTTATTTATGAATTCACGACCATTGTCGCTTTGAAGTATACATGGGGGCACCCGAATAAACAAAATATGTCTATGAATTGGTAGGCCACTTCCTCGGCAGTCTTCGTCTTAAGAGGACGAAGAATTGTGAATTTGGTTAAATGATCTTGATAATTCATAATGAATCGATAATCTTTATCTGACTCTGACTGCATGTCAATCAAGTCCACTTGACATCGAGAGTTCATGTAGTCAGATAAAATAAGTTGTACAACTAATCCATGTTTTGGTATCTTTTTCTTCAATTGACACTGTTCACACAAAGACAGAAAAAGATTTATTATTTGATGAGTAACATTACAATATTTCTTTTTTAGTTCAGCTTCCATAACTGAAACATAAATAAAAATAATGTAGAAAAATATTAGACAAACACAAATTATTAATTATTTATTGACTATGAAACTAAAAACTTTACTAACCTACCTTTACTACATACCTAACATGTCTAACTATACTTCGCGATATCAATCTTGTGCCGAAAACATCTTGGAATTCGTAATATAAACGTAAATATGTATCAAATCTAGTCAAATTTCAAAAATGTACCTACCTCTTTTTCTTTTATGTCCCACGTTGAGATGTGCTGCCTCCAATACATCAAATAGCTTATCCGCCTTACAGAAATAGCGAATTTTAGAATCGTCCATGCCTTCAGAACCACTTTCAATCAGTTTTTCAGTATCATCAAGTTTTAACATGTCGTATCGCTTTATACGACGATACTGCTTTGACGATAGCGATTGCTTATTTTTTCGAAGTAACTGAGCTTCTTTTACTTCTTGAAATAGATATTTCGTACCGCTCGTTATCGATAAAAACACTCCGATCAGTACTTGTTTTCTTCAACTCACTCAATTTATCATAAAAAATCTTCTTTTTATCAGACATGATTAGCACGCAAACCAACGATGTCCACACTCTAGCAATACTAACATAAATAAAATGACGAACAAGAATGTACGTGAATCCGTCGGCCGTTAATAGATTACATTTGTCTTATATCGCGTCATGGCTGCATCAATAGGCGTCCACAACGCGTTGTGGCATTTTTACATTGCCAGAACGCGTTTTGGTCGATTATCAAAAGAACCTCAACACGAATTTCGCTTTGTGGCCTTTTTGAATATGCCAAAATGCGTTATGAGCGTTTTTAAAAGTGCCACGACACAAATTTCGCGTTGTGGGTGAATCTGAGATGTCTGAACGCGTTGTGACCGGTTTTCCGCCCAATGAGCGTTTTCGATCTTTGAGCTAACATATATACTAGGACTGTGAATTAATTTTGACTTATAATAGATCACGTAACTTATGTTATATCGCATCGGATACTTCTGTAACTATATTCATGTCAAAGCTCTGTCATTAGGCTTTACTTTTTTATTATGTCATTTTGCTGAAGTGTAAACAACATATTTTTTTCTGCTCCGAAGATGTCGAATTAACGAGCCAACAAAACACCATTCGCGAGAAGTTTTACTTTTCCTGTTTAATTCAAAGGAAAGTACTGCTGAAAGTCATCGAGTGCTGTTGGAAACTTACGGTGAACATAATCCATCGATAAAAACGTGTGAGTATTGGTTTCGACGTTTTAGAAGTGGTGATTTCGATACAGTTGACAAAGAACGCCCTGGTCAACCGAAAAAGTTCGAAGATGATGAATTGGAAGTATTACTCGAGATTCATGTCAAACGCAAGATGAACTTACTGAATCGTTGAATGTTGATCGCACAACAGTTTCCAAACGTTTAATGCACTCAGTATAATTCAAAAAGCAAGGAAATTGGGTGCCATACAATTGAAGTCGAGAGATGTTGAACGGCGGTTTTTCACGTGCGAAACAATTGCTTCAACGGCAAAAAAGAAAGGGTTTTTTGCATCTTATCATCACTAGCGATGAAAAATGGATATGCTAAAGATAATCCTAAGCATAGAAAATCGTGGGGTTTGCCCGGTCATGCATCAACATCGATGGCAAGGCCGAATATTCATGATTCGAAGCACATGCTCTGTATTTGGTTGGACAGCTTGGTGTTGTGTACTATGAGCTGCTTCAACCGAATGAAACCATCACTGGTGAACGCTACCAAACACAATTAATGCGTTTGAGCCATGCATTGAAGGAAAAACGGCCGCAATTCGAGCAAAGGCACGAATAGAATAATTTCTCAACATGACAACGATCGACACATGTTGCTCGTGTAATCAAAAATACTTAGAAACGCTGAAATGGGATGTTTTATCCGGACCCGCCATATTCACTAAGATTATTGCTCCATCGGATTACTACTTGTCCGATCCATGGAAAATGGCCTGGCTAAGCAGCACTTCCAATCTTACGAAGATACGAAAAATTGGATCGATTTGGTGGACTGCATCAAAAGATTAATTGTTCTTTCGACGCGAATCGTATGCTGCCAGAAAAATGGAAGAAAGTAGTGGATAGCGATGTACAATACTTTTGAAAATAATAATGTACACAATTTTCACAATAAAGCCTTGAATTTACAAAAAACTCAAATTAATTACAGTCCATATACAGGGTGAGGCATCTAAAACAGGCCACCTGAATATC